TGGGGGGGCGAGAGCGCTGTTGGGGACAACAACATGAGCAACTGCCTGCACATAGGTCTTCACTTAAGGTGACACTGAACTCAGGAGTTGAACCTTTAAACGCATTCAAGTACCCTAATAACAGAATGTAGCTTATTTGTACATTGCACAGCTGTACATCTTCAAAAAATCTCTGAATATTTGCTGACACTGTTCTTCCTTCTGGGGGGTGGCTACATTTGGTCCCCATGTTCCTTGTGTGTGTGTTGTAAAGTAGCCACCTCTCCAAGCTTGCTCCTGTGGTGGACAACAATCTCACATTTTGTTTACTAATTTGTATTGAGATTGTAGTCCATCACTGGAGCGAGCTTGGAGTAGTGGCTACTTTACAACACACACAGAGACCTTTCCTTCTTGAGCTACCCTCCATAAGTAAGGGCAGTGCCAGCATGAATTCAGAGATGATTTGAGGATTCACAGTTAAGAGATGCACAAATAAGATACATTTTTGTATTAGTACTTGAATGCATTTTTAGGATTTAATTCTTAAGTTTAGTGCCAATTTAAGAATGAGGCGAGCAGCCTCAAGTAAAGAATGGTCAAGGCAAAAATGTTGCTCTTGATAGTACTTAAGGGAACATGCTAGTCTAGGCCAGCCTGGAGAAAAGCTATGCTGTGTCCCACAGAGTACTGAATGGGATGAAACTTCTTCGCTTTTCACCAAGCAAAACAAGCCTTCCGGGTGCAATGGTAGACATTGCAGGAGGTCGCATAACTTTTAGAAGAGTAGGGATAACATCATCCAAGAAGCCTCTGTACTGCAAGACCTGGGCTTCAACAGCCAGGTTGTAAAAGCTAGCAAGCAATAAGCAGGGTGGAATACCAGTACATTGGACAGTAGGTCTGGATGATCCAGATGTGCCCACAGAGAGTCTGCCAGGAGCTTGACTACGTCCACATACCATGTTTTCCTGGCCCAATGCAATTCAATCAAGTATAGCTTGTCCTTGAGCTTAGGAGATATGTCAGGATGGAGTCCAGGGAACTGGAAACAGCCTCTTCCTTCTAATCTTTTTTGTCAGGGAGTGCACAAGCAAAAAGTTAACATTTAGAGGGGAATTCTAAAAGGGACTGGGAAAGTGCCCGCTTGTGCCCCATGCAGCCCGAAGACTTCAACAGTTCAGGCATGTATAAAAGCAACCTTTACTGAAGTAAATTCCTCTCTCGACAGCAGGGTAAAGGGGGGTGCCCTGGTGGGTGCTAAAAAAATGCCCAGAGACATGGAGTGATGGGGAGTGGGAGCAGAAGATAGGGTAAGCAAAAACACTGTCAGCAGAGGAAACAGGATCCAGCCCTGAACTTTTGTCAGAGTGAGGCCCCAGAGCCTGTTGCCCATACATCCCTGCATCTATGATATGCCATTGCCTGTGAGGGAGCCCCAATACTCATTTACTGTGGAGGTTACAGGGTACCTAGTGTCCCAACAATATAGGTAGAAATGGTGACCCAGTGCATATTTTGCAGAAAGCTGGACTCCCTGGTAGACATGCAGAATCACAGCAGCAGCGGTAGCAACATGTGGCAAGCTTAGCATGCCCTAGGAAAATAAAAATAGTAGGTGCATGTGCAGTAGAGAATACCAGTGGGAGGCAACTCAGGCAGTGCACCCCTCCCCAACAAGCACCAATGTTAACCCACATAGGGGGAGGGCCTGTTACCTGTGCACCTCCAGCAGGGACTTGCCTGACTTACCAACTTTTAGAGCAGCAACAACCAAGGGAAGTGACATGGCCAATTAGAGGGGACGTGCCCCATCCAGTCTTCACCCTCCCGCTGGGCATACCCCCATGAATGACCTTCAGGGAGAGGACACCACCGAAGTGGACCATGGCCCTGGACCTGTAAAGCACTCTGCAGCAACTGCATGTACACACAAAGTGCCAAGGCGAGTGCCTCATGCAGGATCCAGTGCCCTAAGCACAGGAAGGTGCAGTCCTCCAAGGCTCTGCCAAGGAGAAAACCAATACAGATAGCAGCTGTTAGGTGCTGCAGTGGCTGTGAACAGCAAAGAAAAACTTGCTAGGAAATTCTTAAGCAGAAAAAGGAAGTACAACGCAGAAAGAAGGACATTAGCATAAACTGATGCAGGCTGGGAGTGGATGGGGGTGTGCCTGCTGCCTTTTCATTTTGCCAGTGTCTAATCATTTAAAAATAGCATATTACTTGGGTTCAAAGACTTACTTACAAATGTAGTCCTTGGATTAGTAAACCCATACATTATCTGCACGTCCAGACTGACAACAAATGGGAACAGTAAAAATTTTCCCAGCACACTCATCAGCCAGCATGCAAAAAAAAAGAAAACCTGTCTAACCGCCAAGGTTAAAAAACAGAGGTTTTAGATACATGTCTTCTGCAGAATATGTGAAAGATGCACTGCCTCGTCAAGGCCCCTCTGTGTAGTGTGGTCCTAACTCTAACCTATGAGAGTCTCCATCTTGGACCACATGTAGCAACAGATAAATTGGGTGCAGCTTTTAACCTTAGCGGTTAGACAGTTTCTTTTGCATGCTGGCTGATGTGTGCTGGGAAATTTTTTGCTGTTGTACTGTTTAAAGCACTTCCATGTGCACTTTGCTTTAAAGCTGGTTATGAGTTGATGCCATTTGTTTTGCTTGTCTGACAACACATGGGGCCCTCGGCAATACAAGATTATGGGGCCTGTGACGAACTAGGAGCGCAGAGAGAATACACAGAGGCAAATCACACGGAACCCGGCGTGAGGGGTGTTTATTGGGGAAGTCAGGTGTACAAATCAAGGTACAAAGGCCGGGGTTAGGTCCTGGGGGGTTGCAGGCCACGGGGAGGGTCCACCCAGAAGGTAGGCAACGGGCCAAGGAAGGAGTAGATCCAGAGTCACAATGCTAGTAGTCCAGGGGTCAGAGGTGCAGTAAGCGGTAATCCAACAGGTAACAAGGCACCGTGTGAGTACATCCAGTAAGGGTAGAACAACAGATCCCAGCAGGCCTCACAGCAGCATTGAAACAGAACAGGTATGGTTAAGTCCGTATCCCTTTGGATCCACAGACAGAGACCGGCCTCAGCGCAGCCTCTAGTCTTCCCACCAACACTTAAAAAGGTCCCAGGAGGGGCTGGCCTGAGAGGGGAGGGAAGGGGGAGTACACAGGCTGTTGCTGAGCAACTAACCCCCTCCCCTCGTGTGTCCTTTGTTCTGGGGAGGATTGAATGGAGGGAAACAGCAGACATGTCCTGGCTTGTCTCGGTGCCCAGTGTGTAGGCCCTCTGCTGTTTTGATTTGCAGACTTCTGCCTTTGAAAGTCAACAGGAGGTGGGGAGGATTGGGGAGCAGAGACATGGTCTCAGGGTTGCCAGGAGCCCCCCTCTCTACAATCCCTCCCCCCCTTTTGAACATGTACCAGCCAGGGGTCCTTACCGGTCACCTGGCTGTTACATGGGCCAGGCACCCCTAACGATTACCGATCCTCCTGACGGGATAACCCATCTGCATTTTGGTGCTGGCCACCTCGCCTATATCGGATAGTGAAGTTGTAAGGCTGTAGTGCTAGGCTCCACCGCAGCAAGCGTCCATTATCCCCTGAAACTCGACTAAGCCATGTGAGGGGATTATGGTCGGTCACCACAGTAAATTCACGTACAGGTATGGCTGCAACTTCTTCAGCGCCCATACCACA